TACTTTTCTTTTCTCAACAGCTTAATAATTCATGACCACTGAACATAAGGACAATTTCATAGTCATTAGAAACGTCCATCTTGGGGTGTAAACTATTGTTCACTAACTGCATTTATATTACAAAGTACAAACCAAAACCAAGTTTAAGAAATTAATTAAGGTTTTCAATGTTCATGTTACAACCCCTCATCAAACTATTTTATTAATATTATTTAGACTAATATTTTGGGCGACTACATTTTTTGTAGTTCTATGCTTCGAAGAAATATTTCCCGTTGAGAATCATCAAAACAACCAAATAGTGTGTCAATTGTGGCCTTATTTGTAGTAATATAATTATATACATCTTACAATTTAATGTGTGCTCATGGCACGTATGATTTAATTTAAGAAAAAAATAGTTGTTTTATATAAATAGAAGTTGTGATTGATTCTGATCAGTCTATTTCTGAAGCGCAAAATAAGTTATCTAATGGTATGAGCATCAATATGAATCAAATGTATTCTAACTACAACCACACAAATTCAACCTATATGATTAAAGTTTCACAGTTTATCAATATGCTTTTTTTTTACTTCTTCATGGTAATGATATTTGGGTGCAATCCAAAGAACAAATCAATGACTTCAAGGTAATGATATTTCATGACCAAGAGAATTTACACCATTAAGAACTTCAAGGTCAGTCTGGCAAAGGACATTGTTTTTAGGTTCGAATTACTATTTTCAATTCAAATTTAATTCAAACTTATGCATATAACACCAAATCATTCACTTTCCAATTTTTGTTTCAACAAATGTTGTTGGCCAGCTTATTTAAGCATTCATGTTTATCGACAACCACTAGACTCAATGGAAAAGTCATCTCACAAAGAGCTCAAACTCAAACTTCCCCAGTATGTAACTATTTTAGCTTTTCGTTTAAAATAGCATGCATTAGTTTAACTTTTGGAATGTCGGCTGAAAGGCTACTCAAACTTCCCCAGTATATCTAATATGTACAAATTCAGGATCCACCTTCAAATTGCAGACAAAACAATACAGGTTGACTTTGTTGTCATGATGGTGGGGGCTCAACTTTTGGAATGTCGGCTGAAAGGCTACTCCAAGACTACAATAGAATTAGAGGACCAACACCTGCTCATCTCCTACAAATTGAATGAATGACCTTGAAGTTCGACATCATGTTCACATATTACAACATTGCTAATCTAACAAGTGAGTTCACAATTTTAAGGATAGGGAAGGATGCAGAAGTTCATAACACTAACGATCTTCCTAACTTCATCGATATAAATTATACTTAGTGATATTCTCTATTGGATTTGGATTTTTATATCATGCACATGTCAAACTTACTTATATTCTTTATTCTAATTGATATCAGGACACTGTCGGATGAAGGGAGCCGAGTTTTTAATTAGCAAAATTGGTTTGGATGAATAAAATTGAAAATGTGGAGAACACCCTTATATTGCTCTCCCTGCTTGGAAATATAGCCGCTTTGGTAATTTTAATCTAGGTATTCAATGTGTAACTTTGATTCCTGTTCCAATAGAGGTAATGGATTCAGTGTTAGAGATTATGTTAATATTGAGAAGATGAAAAACATCGTTCTTGAGGAAGATATAAAGATTGGTGATGCGGAGAAAGAAAAAATTATGAATATTGTTCAAACTTTGAACGAGGTAAATTCTACTCCAATGAGAAAGATATTATGTATTTGTAAATTTTTTACCAATAAATTTTATTGGTCAATGAAATGCAGGAGAAATTGAATAGATTATTGAAATGCATGAGAAGAAGGAAGAGACAATTGATTATGCAGATAAATGTGTCACTAATGGAAATGAAGATATTATTATTGGTGGAGATGATTATGTTGCTCATGGCAGAGGAAATACAAACAAGTAAAAAATAAAACGTGCAGTAAGTTTAGACGATGAGGAGTAATTAGAAATGTAATTTTTAAGTGTTTTTAGGAGTCGCTTCCCTTGCATGAGGCTTTTCTTTCATTTTCATTAAAGGATTTTGGTCGATTAGTCATTAAAATGTAGGAAAATAGTATGGCGTTGATCCATTTGTATTGTTGAAGTATTTTTATGTTTTGGATTTTCTTTTTTCTACTAATCGATTCGAATGTTTAGAGTATTTTAATTTAGATTTTCTTATACTAATACGTAACTCGGATACAAATTGCTACCGGTATTTACGTGATTGTCAGCTGAATCCGGCCAACTGGCCAGGCCCGTGACTAGTATACTAAAAAGTAAAATCTAGGCTATAAAATAAAATACTGATCAAATGGCATAAATTAAGGGGTCGATTGGAAGTTTTGATTATTAGAGTTGTGTTTGTTGAATACATGTATTGTGCACAAAGCACAATACAATGTTTGGAAGTGTCAAAGTGTAAAACAATGCATGTATTGTTTTAGGTAGGTCCCACCAACAATCACAAAAAATGATGTATTATACAATCTCAACTAAAAGTTGTGATTGTTGTGATTGTTGATTTTAGATTTGTGTCAACTTTTTTTTTTCTTCATTTCTATCCAGAATAGTTTTTGTCTTATTCTAAAAGTTAAGGGTAATAGTGACATTTTCCCATAAAAGTAATTCTATGTAAATCAATGCATAAAATAGAATCTCAACAATCAAACAATATATTGTTAAAATGCATCCAATGTATTGTTAAAATGCATCCATTGTATCAATACAATACATGTATTTATATTATGGTGATTCATTATAATGCAACGATTTAACATTCGCAGCTTCCAAACCAAACGACGCTAAGAGATTTAATTAACACAAACACAAATTTGAAAAGTTCGAGGTTAGGAGCCGAATTAATTAAGATTTAAAGACTGGTCTTCGCCGATCGCGTTTGACTTGAGTGGAAAAATAAAAATAAAAATAAAAATAAAAAGAGAAAAGAAAAGAATAATAATGGACTTAGTAGACTTAAAAATAACGGATTACTTCGCCTACAAAAAGAGCATGCACAAAGTAAATAACCTAAGTGTCGAATCGAATCCTATTTCACTTAATTAGATGGGAAAAATAATTTCTTTGCCTTGCAGGTCGATGATCAGGACACCGGCAGCGATGGCGCCCTGTCGCGCCGGGGAAGGGGCGATTCCTCTCTTGCTACTGCATTGACAATCGACGGTTATCTTCTCTCTTTGTTTGATTTTCTCTTGTATTCCCCTGCAGTGCAGACCATTCTTCCCGGACTGTTGTATGCTGTTTCTCGATTACACTGGCCCCAGTTTCTCGATTGGCGGTTGCTTGAACTGTTGGTTTTAGTTTTCGATGCTTACCTCCCTGAACTGTTCAATTTGCCCACATCGATCTTAGAGCAGATGTACGGGTTCTGGTTTATTTAATTAGCTTGTTCGTTTTGCCTCTGGTCTGGTTGGTTAAGTTATTCTCTAAGTTCAGCTTGCTCTGATCGTTGTTTGGTTACGGCTTAGCCGTCTCACTCGAGTTCTGTGCTCTCCTCCGGCCGCCGCCTCCCAAGGTTTACGGTAAGGCTGGCGGTCTCGTAATCACGCCGGAGCAGATTATGGGTTCAACCACATTTCGCATTAAATGAATTTCATTACAGGTAAGTATCATGCTCATAATTTTTAAATGATTTAATGACCTTCCTAATTATTGTTATTTACCCCCTGTTTTATTCTCTATGCTTTTATAGCTTCTTTAGTACCTACTCAACTCAATCACCGCATCGGGTAAGACAATTAGAATTTATTCAATCAATTACTCCCCTATTGGAATTTGAAAATCATTTTTGTTATCCAGAATACCTTTTAATGCCTCTTATTAATTAATTTTTTTGGCAACAACCGGTTTTTTTTTTTTTTTTTAGGATGTTGTTTTAAATTGTATTTATTTTATAAGTTAATTTGGGTATTTGATTATCCTCATTTATAGCCATCTACACCTATTTTATTTAATTTTAAATATATGATATTAAATGTGAGACTTTTTTTCCTGTTGAAATACCTTTTACTTTATCTATCGAGGTGTCAAATCATGGTTTTTAATATTAGAACCTTTTAGTTACCTTCTTTATTTAAAAATTTCATTTATTTCCCTTTTCTAAGGGGACTATTATTTATTTTGTATATTTATATTATTTATTTCCTATAATTTATTTTCTCTGAATCGTTGAATCGCATCTTCGATGTGGTATATTCGGTATTTCCGACTTTGTCTCAATGATAGACTTTAATCTCTTTGGATAGAGATTTCTAGCACTTTAGTGGATCCCTTTCGGATTGATCAGGTTAAAGGAAAACATGAAGGAAGTGCAATCCCCTCATCAGTCTATCAGTTAAGGCCTTTTGCTTTTTGTATATTTTCATGGTATTAATGATGCCTACTAAATGGTGATTTACTAATAATCTCTTGTTTTTTCTTTTGAGGAAATTATCAACTGGTTATCAGAATGCTACACATTCTCGAGGAGGAGCTGTCTTGGAGGAAGTGCTCTTTTTTTCTCTTTTCTTGAGTTAGTGTCGTGTCATTTGCTCCTCGGAGCTTTAACAGAGCTGCCCATGTAGTGGCTATAACCGGCTCTTTCATCGGGAATCCGCTTGCTTACGGATTACCGCATTTATTTTGGAGTCCTTATTGTATCTGAGTCTCGTCTTTGTCCCATGCCCTTTGGGCTTGCCTTGGAAAAAAAAAAAAAAAAAAGCATGCACAAGCTGGAAAGAGGCGCTGTCTTAGCCTTAGAATTAGCGTCAACTGAGAAATCTTAGTTATAATTCAGATTCCATTCTCCAGTTTCCAAGAGATAGATCCAGCGGCCGGGATAGAGTACTGGTGCACAGCGATGGAGCTCATCAACGGCTGGTCATGCATCTCCGGCATCAGTAGTCGCCGACGCCACAGCCAAACCGCCGACGGCAGCGGCAGTTACGAACGGATTATTTATACTTCTTCTACGTCCTCCTCGTCCCCAGCAGCGGCCACGCCCGGCCAGAGATGGAAGTCGTTGTGGAGGAGAATACTGAAGGAGAAGAAGAAACTCTTGGGGAGCACTTGCAGCCCATCATCACCGCCGGGAAATAACATTTTCTCGTACAACGCTGTCGGCTATTCGCAGAATTTTGATCAAGGGTACGTCATGATCTGGTCCGACCCGGACGGCGAGTCTCGCTCCTTCTCCGCCAGGTTCGCCGCGGTTCCAACGACGGCGACGACGTCTGGATCTTTTGACGAGGGGAGTAGCCAATCAATTAGTATAATTGTATAAGGCTATTGTTTGGTTGCTTGTTGAATGGAGAGTGTTGATATGATAAATTAAGGGCTTGAGATCCGATCTTGGTTTTGGCGCCTCCCACGCCTTCCTTAAAAACCGGAGCAGGTGGAGATTTATTATTTTCAGGCTTTCTTTCTTGGATACTCTCTACCTAATTGAATTCCTTGCACATATATATATATATATATGTTTGTTTTCTTTCTATATAATCGACTTGTTTCATTCCATTTCTTTTCTATAATTGACCTGATTAAATTTCCAATAACGTCTCATGCATGCAGCGGGCCGGATTCATTTTTATAAGAGTGATATAAGTTTTATTTTTAAAATTAGGTGTTATTTAAGCGATTCGAATTTGAATGGAAAGTTCTTTGTTTGACTCTCCCGTCATGAAGTTTCATATAAGGTTGAACTATTTGTCTTTGTGTGTAAATGAAAATTGTACTTTTCGATCGAGTTGAACTTGTATTGTGACTACTAACTAGATTGTAGGGCTGGCCGTTCGATTATTGGTTGCCGGTTAAACCGATAATCGACGGTTACCGGCTAACCGAAAATTGTAATTTCGGGTGTTGGCGGTAGCGGGGCTAGCTATGCCGGCTAACCGACAGTGATAACCGCCGGTTAGCCGGCTAACTGGCAAAACTAACCCCCTCCACTCAAACAAAACGCCGCCGCCCTGCCCTCCTATTCCCTAACCCTAATCGAAGCCCTGAGTGAGCCCCTCACTCTCTCTTCTCTGCATCGCGAAGGGCGACACCTCCGGCCTCCTACATCGACCATCTCCCTCCCCGACCCTGAAGAACGACGCCGTCGCCTGCCATCCCGTGCGTCCGTCGCCTCGGCCTCCTCTGCTCGCAGCCAACCACCGCCAACCAACCCGCCTCCTCTGTGGCCTGTGCGAGGGAGACCCCGCCATCGAGAGCTTCGCCAGAGCCACTCCTCTGCTCGCAGCGAGCACCCATCAGTCCTCTTTCCGGTGACCAGTGCCCCTCTACGCAGGCCTGCACCCCGCCGTTGAATTATCTAAGTGTTTCAATTTCATCACTCCCTTGCTTAATTTGCCCCTGCTCTGCCACCGCTGCCAAAACAGAGAGGTTGTTGTTCTTCCTCTACTTCATTGTTGCCGCTGTGAAGGACGATAAGTGATGGGATTTCCTCTGTTGTTAATGATAAGAAACAGAAATGTGGTTAATGATAAGAAACAGGGGAGGAAGAAGCAATCTTTTCTGCTTCTCTGTTGTTGGGTAGGTTGGGTTTTTGTTTTTGTTTGGAGAGAAAAGAAATTGGATTTGGTGAGATGAGTTTGTCTTGGGAAGAAACTGGGGTTAGCTATGATTTATGAATTAAACTTGATTGATGATGGATTAATGGACAATGCAACAATGGTATGGTTGAATTAGTGTTCTACTTGATTAGATTAGATACTGGAAGATTGGCTGTTATGGCATGAATAGTGTCGAAACAAGAGTGTATGAGTGAAGTATTAAACATGGTTGGATTCAGAATATGTTAGAATTTCTTTGAGTCGGTAATTGAGTTTCAATTTCTCAATTTGTGTAATTGTTTTGTAGGGTGAGACCTCCAGCTCCTCATGGTGGACGTGGCGGACAAGGTGTCCCTACTGCTGCTACTGCTCCTCGTGGTGGGAGACCTCCAGCGACTCGAGGTCGTGGTGGTGCGACTGCTCCTGTTCAGACCCGGGGTCGTGGTGGGCGTACAGGAAGTCGACCTGTTCAACCTACTGAAGCTGAACCGTCTTCATCAACTCCATCGATTCCCGCCCCTGTCGATAGTGGAAGTACACCTGCCGAGACTCCTTCCGTGGACACGGGCGCTCATGATTGAGAGACAGCTACAGGAGACATATTTTACTGCGAGAAATGGTTGAAGACGGTGGGTAAAGCTTCTTGTTGGAAGGTGTTTAAGAAGTTGATAGTTGACAGCTACCAGATGGGAGAGTGCATACACTGTCATACTCTAATCAAAGCTCATCCTCACAAAAATGGGACCACTGCAATGAATAACCACATGCACTCATGTTTGGCTAAGTTGGCATCAAATAAAAATCAGACAGTATTGCAGACATAAGAAGGTGGTCAAGTAAGTGGTTTATGGAAGTATGATCAGGGAAAAGCTAGATATGCATTAGCAAGTATGATCATTATGGATGAATTGTCATTTTGCTTTGTGGAGAGGGAAGGATTTAAGCAATTCATGTCTTCTGTTCAGCCACTGTTTAGGATACCCGAGAGGAAAGCTATAAGAGATGACTGCTTTCATATCTTCTTGGATAAAAAGATGGATTTAATTGATTTTTTTGAATCAAGGAGCCAAGGAAGAGTTTCAATCGCTACGGATACATGGACTTCTGATAACAACAAGAATTACATGTGTGTTACTGCTCACTTTGTTGGAGGTGATTGGAAGTTGCAGAAGGTGATAGCCTTTGTTCCCATCACAAGGCATACTGGAGTTGATATTGCAGAGAAGCTTGCAGAAGTTCTTGAAGAGTGGAAGGTGAAGAATCTGTTCTGCATGACCATGGACAATGCAACTTCAAATGATGTTGTCAGGGAGTGCATGATAACGAAGCTAAAGGAGTGGGGGTGTGATTTGATGGATGGGAAGTTTCTACAGTTTCGATGTGTTGCACACATCATTGATCTGGTGGTACAAGATGGATTGAAAGTGGTTGGTGGTGTTGTGGACAGAGTTCGGGATTGTGTGAAGTGGGGCGAGGTCTTCACCAGCTAGGTTGTTACGATTCAAGAATGGCATGGAATTTCTGCATGTGGAGTCAACCAAACTGGTGTCTTTGGATGTACTGACCAGGTGGAACTCCACCTATACCATGTTAGAGTCAGCAGAAAGTTTTGAGGCAGTGTTTACAACTTTGTATTCAAGTCCACACGATCATTCTCTTAGAGATTATCTGGACTCAAGAGGTGGGCTTCCAACTAATCAAGATTGGCAGATGATTAGGAAGTTGAGAGACTATATGAAAGTCTTCAATGACTTGACCCTTCTAGTCTCTGGTAAGTGAAATTCCTGAACTGCATTGTTTAATTTAAAAATTTTAACGATTTGCCCATTTCTATTTGTGTTATTCTAATCTTCTGGTGGTACCTTCTTACAGGAACTAAATATGTGACTATGCATATCTTCTTCAAGAAGCTTGTTACGGTATATGACATCATTGAGAAATTGAATAAGGATCCGCATGAAGAGATCCAAAAGATGGCTGAGAAGGTTGAGGAAAAGGTACAAAAGTATTGGTTTGAATCATGTGTTGTGAACGAGAAGAACATGAAGGTGAACCACTTAATTTATATAGCATGTGTGCTTGATCCAAGAAGTAAATTTGATTTGGTGTCTGAGGTTTTGGTATGATGTATGGGAATGTGAAGGGAGGAGAAATAGTTGACTACATTAGGAAGGAAATGCGACAGTTATTCGAGGTTTACAAAGGAAAGTATGGATCAAAAGCACCCTCCTCTGCATCTGAGCCTACCACTGGTGAGAGCACGGCTGGTGGTGATAGGATTAAGCAGCTAGAGGAGAGGATTAGGAAGAGGAAAAGGGAAGAACTTCTGCAGGATACAGGAGGTAGCTCTGCTGAGCTTGACATCTATTTAAGATGTCAAACTGATGGCATCAATGAGGAGAGTGATGATGCCAAGTTTGACATCTTGAGTTAGTGGTCTCGACACTTTGGAACATATCCGATTCTTGCTAAGATGGCTAAGGATAACCTAGTCGTTCCCATCTCTTCTGTTGCCTTAGAGACAACCTTCAGCTGTGGCAGTCGGATTCTGAGTCCATTCAGGTCTTCTTTGAGTGATATCATGTTGGAGGCATTGATTTGTGCGGAGGATTGGATAAAGTATCAAGATGTCGGGGCCGGAGATAATGACGATAGGGAAGAGGATGAAGAGATCATGGATTTGGAAAGCGGTAAGTTCTAAAACTCTTTTAATTATTGTTTGTTGAAGTACACAAATACTATTTCTTTCTACCTAATTCAATGTATGAATATTCTAACAATTTGTTTGAGTTTTTCTTACTCAGTTAATACCACTTTCCCGTCTAGAATGGAAAGTGCAAGAAGAGATGTTGGCAATGTTGTCAATGCAGATGCAAGTCAGAACATTCCAGATGGGAATGAGCAGGAAAATGTGTAGGAGGAAGATTATGAGAAAGATGGATATGACGATGTTGGTCATCACCTCTTGTCGCAACTGAAAGAAAAGGGTTATGTAGATGTTGGTTCTTCTTCAGTTGATAAGTGATGAATTGGTGGTGACTTGTAATTTGTGACTTTCTGTTCTAGTATTTGAGACATTAATTTGGTGGTTTTAAATCTATTTTGTATGCAAAAATGATTGAAACTTGACTTGTGGAGTGATTTAGATATAGAAATGTACGGCTGAACATTTAATGTTAGGCAATTTGTATCGATCTTGTTTGCATATGGGTGCTATCCGGTTCGGTTACCGGTTCAGTTATTCGGTTAAAACCGGTGTGCATTGTGTGTTGCGGTTACTTCGGTTAACCGAGCAACTAACCGGTAATCGACCGGTCGGTTGCCGGCTAACTGATGACTTCCGTCGGGCGGTTGGCGGTAGACAATGATGGTATCGCGATTAACCGATAACCGACATTTTGGTTATCAATTATAAATGAAGTAACCGAAAATCCAACCCTACTAGATTGGATCAAGTGGCCAAACTTTAGGATCGTTAAGCTATGTAGTATGTTTTATTAGCTATTTAGGCAATTCAAGTTCCGTTGAAATCCACAAACTGAAAATACTGAAATGATTTTGCTTAATCTAACAGCAATGCAAAGGATGAGAGTCGGTTTGGTCGGGTCGAACCAAATCTGATTAGCTAAAGTGGCGACCAACAGTCGGATAAATTCTAACACGATTACAAGTACAACCAAACCAATCTTATCTTATCTTATTATATATTATGGTTGTTCAAAAACAACTTCTTGCCACATAAGCACTTTGAGAATTCACAAGTTACCAAGGTGGACAATTTTTTTTACAAGCAAAAAAGTTAGTTAATGAGTTACTTATGTAGTTATCTCTCTCTTCTTTTAATGGTGTTTTCTGTTATTCAATAATTCTTTTTTTTTTTTTTTTGCATTATATCTATGTTTGTAGAAAAAGGCTAATGTTTGTAGAGTGATATATCACATTTGTTTAAACAAAAAATATCTTATTACATTTTATAAGCAAAATTTCTACTAATTTTAAACAAATACACACATAAACAATAATATTTTCATCGATTAAACAAAATATAAGGATGGAAACAAAGAAAATAATTGTTAGAAAATCAATCAACTTTCATAAACAAACTATGTTATTTTATATTTTGGCTATTAAACACTCTCTTATTTAGAGATGGCAACCAAATCGATGGCCACAGGTGCACAACCGCCTCCGACCCAGTCAATGCGGTGAATCTTCTCATTGATTGGGTATGGGTAAAACTCGCAAATTTTTTGATGGAGATGGGCGGATATGATTTTGAAATCCCCCGCCCCATACCCATACCCAAACCCGCCCCGCCGAGGATCATTTGTTATATGCAGAAAAGTAGGGATGGCAATTTCCACCTGGCCCGTTTTACCCGACCTGTTTTGGGGCGAGACGGGGCGGGTATGGGTAGTCTCATCACCCCGACCTGCCCTGACTCGTCCCATTCTCGACCTGTTCTTGTCTAAATTACATGTAATCTTAGCCAAATTACTTAGAATTTTCATTTTATTGCATCATATTTTAACTATAATAAAGTTGTAAATTAGTGAAAATCTCAATTTCTCCAATTATTTAACTACAATTGTCATAATATTGTTTGCTTTCTTAGTCTTATAATAAAAATAACGAATATTTCTAATGTTTTTCATATAAATTGCATACCCATTGGGTCGACCTGCCCCGACCCACAACCCGTGATCAATTAGCCGACCTGGACCCGACCTGCCACGGGGCGGGTCTGGGTACCAAGAAACCCGCCCCGAACCTGCCCCATTGCCATTCCTACAGAAAAGATAACGAGTCTATTGTAATTTGTCCATAGAAGGAAGGGTAATTAAAAGAAAAACAAAGTTTTAAAATATAATTGATGGCAACCAAATCATAATTTCATCCACTTATGTATCAGTTTCATACTTTTGGGCAGGTAGTACCAAAAAAATTTACATATTTTTTTTTATGGTGAGTAGCTTATGGGGCGGGTATTACCCATGGTATCCGAAAACCGCGGGTATGGAGATGAGTTTGTAAAACCTTCCACCGTATGGGTATGCGGCAGGTATGGGTTTAGGTATTTGAAAATGGGAATGAGAATGAGGATGGTTTAGGCAAACCCGACCCATTGCCATCCTTACTCTTATTGCTAATTAATATATCTATAAAATAAAACAAGTATTATATAGTAAAAGTTCTGGATAGAAACTTAATGATGTACAAGTATTATATGGCACGTGTAAATGTTAGAGAAATCTTTGTTGACGATGTACGATAAACATTATGTTTCATCAACCACTAATCAAACATGGGTTGACAATTTTCATTTAATAGTTGAATGTATTCTACATTACAAGCCTTTATAGTTAGAAGACTCTAAACCGAGTTAGTAGGTTAAAAATGAAGAATCTTTATAAGCATGAGATCAAGGCAACTCTAATAAGTCATTTGGTTGAATGGTTGTGAGTACGTGACTCCATGTGCTGAGGGTTAGTACAAATTTCAAAAATTAACATTGGTATATATTGACTAAATAAAATTTAAAAGCTATACCTTTCAGAAATTTCAAAATTTTAACCAAATATTTTGTATCGCGTCAAAATATTAATCATTTCTCTGTTATCTTTAATAATTTTGTAAATCTTCTCTTAATTAAACTACTAAAATTTTGAATATTGATTGTCACGTGTCTCCTCCAACTCATCATCATGTTGTTGAGTCAATATTACTAACAAAAATGCTAATGGGGAGTTAACGTTTGGCTAATACTTTGTATTTTGAAATGTATGATTGATAATTTTAAAAGTTTGAAGGATTTGATTAATATATTGTATAATATACTAAATTTGAGTGTCTTGATAGACAAATTTTGACATAAGATCCTCTGCAGAGACTTAATGAACATTCACATAAACATGTGTCAAGATTAGATAAGTTGATCATAATAAGGGGTACGGTATGTGTCAAGTTTCACTTGGATAAACACAATTTATCGAGTAATCAAGTATCTTTATCCAATAATATGGACTCTTAATAATTGTTTGAGAGTTTGTCCTCACTCGAGAATCACAAAATTTTAGATGTTTTATAAGATTAGAAATTTGAATGGTTTGGTTGACAAATTTTTGTATACTATTCTAAATGTGACGAGATAAACCTTTAAAATATGATTTATTATTAGAGAATCGAAACCTATGAAGATCATAGGTGAGTGTGCTAAATATTGAGAATTTTTAATACGAACATATAGCATACTCACTTATGAAGCGTGAACATAAAAAAGTTAGAAGATTAAAAAGATTTTATACATGTAGATAAATTAATTTATATAAATGATAAAATGAAATTTTCCGGCCAACCGGCCGGATAAAAAACTAGTTAATTTAAGTTCAATTCAAACACGAGAACCGGAATTGAGAAAGGGATCAAATCTAATATCACATATGCTAATGGCAGATTCGTCCTTTTTCATTAAACACGAATACGAGCATGGCACGAGCACGAATAGGCACGACAAGATTCGAACCGTGCCCTGGGCTGGACCGGGCCTAGCAAAGTTAACAAATGGGCTTGTATGGCACGACACGAAAACTTACGGGCCGTGCCAAGCACGGTACAAAATAAATGGGCCCGAAGCGTGCCTGTGCCGTGCCGGCCCAAGCACGGCCCAACGCCCATGTACACCCATACCACTTTTTTTTAGGTTTTTTCATTTTTCCAGCCCAATTATATCCCATTAAACTAAAAAATACCCAAAATTTACTAATTTCAATGGTATTTTACCATTTTATTACCTTTACCCATCAACAAATTTTAATCGATCAGTCATCAGTTAATAGTTAATCGCCTTCCAATTATCACCCCTATTACAAATGCAAGGCCTAGTGTTCTTCAACTTGTGGGCTTACTCTCTAGGTCAGTTCCGTGGCCCAAGCCTGCTTGAAACGTCCATCAGCCTGCCTCTGGTCTTTTCCATTTGCCTAACGACGCCGTATTCCCGTGACCTTTCGTCCCTTCCCTAAACCCTCCCCAAAACCATAGCGATTGCTCGCCGAGTCGCCGTGTTCCTCTGCCTTCCTCGAACCAGAAAACAGAGCAGCCTCCTTCGCCGCTATCAATGGCGGCAATCCACTCCCGCCTCCGTTTCCCCACCTCACTTTGCCCCGTATCCCGCCCCTTCCTCACTTCTTTCTACTGTTCCTCTCCCGAAGTCTCACAGCCTCTCATCCACGATGAAGAATCGGACTCCAATGACGAAGAACCAACTCTATCACCGTTCCCCGTCCCCGCCGCTCTCTCCCCTGAAGAATCCACCGCAGTCGACAAATTCCATTCCCTAATCAAAGACCACTACCGCAACAACCCGAATCCAAACCCTACATCCTGCGTCCCAAATTTCACCATCCCATCTCTCTCCCTCGACTTCTCCCAGCTTTCCGGTGACACCATCACACCTGCCTTCGTCCGGCGGGTCATCGAGAAGTGCGGTGGCGTCCGCCACGGCATCCCACTCCTCCAAACCCTAGCTTTCTTCAACTGGGCAACGGCTCGGGACGAATTCCCTCTCTCCCCCGAACCCTACAACGAGATGGTCGATCTCGCCGGAAAGGTAAGGCTATTCGACCTTGCTTGGAACATAATCGATCTAATGAAACAGAGATCCGTCGATATCAGCATCGAAACGTTCTCGATTCTCTTCCGCCGCTACATCCGCGCCGGAATGGCCGCGGAAGCCGTTCACGCTTTCAATCGAATGGAGGATTACAACTGCAAGCCTGACAAAATCGCCTTCTCGATTGTAATCAGTAATCTCTGCAAGAAGAGAAGAGCGGCCGAAGCCGAAGCCTTCTTCGACGGTTTGAAGTCCAAATTCGAGCCTGACGTCATCATCTACACCAACTTAATCCACGGGTGGTGTCGCGCCGGAAACCTGCCGGAGGCCGAGAGGGTGTTCAGTGAGATGAAGACCGCTGGCATTCAACCTAATGTCTACACTTACAGCATCGTGATCGATTCGCTCTGTAGATGTGGGCAGAGCACACGAGCTTTTGATGTGTTCGCAGAGATGGTCGATTCTGGGTGCCAGCCGAATTCGGTAACGTTCAACAATCTAATGAGAGCACATGTGAAAGCTGGTAGAACAGAGAAAGTTCTGCAGGTGTACAATCAAATGAGGAAGCTGAATTGCGAGCCCGATACAGTTACGTATAACTTCCTGATCGAGACTCATTGCAAGGAAGATAATCTCGATGCAGCGATGAAGGTTCTGAATTCCATGATACGCAGCGGTTGTACCACAAATGCATCTACTTTCAATACCTTATTCGGTTGCATTGCGAAGCTACGGGATGTGAATGGTGCTCACAGGTTGTATGCTAAGATGAAGGAGGTGAAATGTAGGCCGAACACCGTGACCTACAATACCTTAATGAGGATGTTCGTGGAGTCGAAGTCGACGGATATGGTTCTGAAGATGAAGAAGGAGATGGATGAGGGTGAAGTCGAGTCGAATGTTAATACGTACCGGATTTTGATCGGGATGTATTGTGGGATGGGGCATTGGAACAATGCTTACAAGTTCTTCAAGGAAATGATTGAGGAGAAAGGGTTGAAACCGAGTCAGAACGTCTATGAAATGGTTCTCCAGCAGCTGAGGAAAGCTGGGCAGTTGAAGAAGCATGAAGAGCTGGTTGAGAAGATGGTTCATCGAGGATTCGCCGCTCGTCCATTGTAGACGAGGTTCCATGAATCATGTTTGTTTCTTTGAACCTAATTCTGCTCTTTTCCTGTATTGTTCTTGTTCATGTGATGTCCTTAAAAGGATTATTTAGCATCTCATTACAATGGATATTAGTAACCTTTTAGGGTTCCACAAAAAAATACTGAGAAAAGGAAAAGCTTTCTTCTTCTTGTGGCCAGCAAACGCTGTTACGCCAAAGAGAGGCCACAGATGACAACAATCAAGTAAATACTGCAGTCGATGAACAAGCCTCTAATTGCTTGGTAGGCCGTAAGACCTCGTTCCAGCACCATGAACGCGTCTCTCCAGCTCTTATCCTCTGAGTTATCTCCAGCTTTCTCTTCTTGTGCATCTTCTACGACCATTCCCTTCCCCTGGATCATCCGAAGCAACACAATCGTTACACTGGTCAAGGCGATCAAGTATATAGGCCTATATCTCTCGGTGAGCTCGTCGATTTTGATCCATGAGCGTGCAAAGTGGAAAAACAGCACGAGAACGGATATAACAAAGGAACATTTCGCCCGGGTGACCTCAGAAGCTATGATGCAGGCGTTCAGGCGCCTGGAAGAGAAAAAAATTGTCTGCTTTGGCTTTGACGACGATGATGGTGGTTTTTTATTTGATGGCCCTATTGCTGTTATTGCAGTCTGTGGCTTCGGTGTTAAGTTACCAACATCTGGAGACGTCACGGATCTGGAGATATGTGATGAATCTGGTTTCTCCGCCTTCGGAATCTGCTTGGTGACGATTGCTTCCTTTGTTGGTGTTTTGGAACCAGAGTCATCAGATCCAATCTCTAGCCCCCCGGAACGTTCTGCAGCTCGAAAATCATAACCATGAAAAGTTTTACAAAAATGTGCACATTTTGGAATGTGACGTGAGAGATTGTCAGGAAAGAGAGAATCGAATGATATGAATGAATCCAATTACCATTGAAGGATAACGAAGGGACAGCCGACGGCATTGAGGATGTTCGTTCGAGATTCTTGAGCTCACCGGTGATGAGAGCCAATCGATCTGATCCTCTCTCCATGATTCGTCGTCTCCTCTCATTTCTTCCCATCGTTGCCATCTTTCCTCCCCCAGCTCTCTGGTTTTTCTTTTAGAAAGTTTATCAAACCTTCTTTGTCTATCTGGTTTTCCTGAGTTTTGGTTCTCTCTCTACGTGAAAGTGAAATATATATAACCCCCAATTATCGTCAGAAACCAAATAACCGATACAAAATTAGAGGGAAAATAATTAGTGGTAAATTGATGTCTGACTCAAATTGCACTGGCTTGAAATAGACTGAATAAACAAGAACGTCCAAACTTCTAATGTACATACGAAACAAACATAATGAAACACATTCTTATTTGGTATGCAATGTGTTAGCAACCAAGATTAGCAACCTAACTCTCAGTGTTCACCCGGCAATCCAGATGATGATGCCATGAACGACCTCCTGCTCGAGAACGGCCAGAGCCTCGGAACCTTAAAATCTACGTAGCCCTCTTTCTTCTTGTAGCAAGTATTGCCCTCCTTGTCGTAAAGAATGGTGTAGTTAAAGCTGCTTATGTTCCTGAAATAACACACCGGCTCACCCACATATTCGTATAGCTGTTGCGTCGCACCAACTCCACTGATCACCAAGTTGTTCTTCACCTTCATAACACTTTGCCCACTCTGCTGATTATGCAGAGATGAGCTCTTAGACCGAGAATCATAGCTGTCACCGGACTTCTTCTTGTCAAACCCCAATGTGACATTTATAATGTAAGCACCAACATTTTTCGGTTCCTCCTTGAAGTCAGAGTAGAAGTCCAAGCTGAAGTTGTTACGCGATCCAAATGATCGAAGAGCATGGGAAGAAAATGAGACACTGTCATTTGAGAGAATCACCTGCCTTACAATCTGCAGATTCCCATCTTTTCCCATCTCCATGATGTTTTTGAATCCAAAATGCTGGCTAAACCGGGTGGTGATATTCCCTTGGGAAGATACTAGCCATCCTTTGGAAGAGATCGATCTGCCTGCACCTGTCTGAAATTCCCCATCCAAGCCATTAAATTTCGACTGAGAAGAGATATCGAGCTGATCATGGTGATGCATGAGCTGCCCTTCAGTTTTGGCATTATGATGGTCCAGCCAAAGATGCAAATTAGCATCGATGAACCAGACATTCAATGCGTTTGTGACGCTAAACCCAAACTCGTGGGCCTTCCCATCGAGCATGCCTCCCAGAAACGGAGTGATTTCGATGTCGTAAGTAGGGAGATCAAACGATCCAATTGCTGAAATTGGCCTCCACAGCAGAGGATTCGCTCCACCAGTGTAGATCACAGTGAAAGGCCAAACAGCACCAACTGTAACTCCATCAAGACTGACCACAACTTCCCTAAATGGTCCATTTCCTAGAGCACCAGAAATGTTGTTCGCAACGATGTAGTCATTGGGGTAATTGGTGAACCAGAACTCATCATTCTCATGAAACGAAACATAAACCTCCAGCACAGCCCTACGAACATTCTGGGGGATCTCGAACTGCTTCGATTCAGTCTGAGTCGAATTCTGGATTTCGAACCACAACCCATCATTGGACGGCACATTTCGCGAAATGGGCAGGATCAAATCAGCCGAATTTGGAGCCCCAGATCCGTGTTTCTTCTCTTCCGCAGGGTAAAAGTAAATGCTCACATTGACATGGTAGATTCCAGTGTAGGTTTGATCAACGATGTTCCCAAGGAAGACAGCTAAATCCTGGTTCTCGTTCTTGAGCAGTAAAGAGGAGTACCTGGTGATGTCCTTTCGTACGGTCCAGAAGATCCCATTGGGCCTCGGCTCCGCCGTGCAGCTCCGGAGAAGCTCGACGCCGGCGAGCCAGACTCCGAAGATGCGGTCGAATTGCCTCCCCTTGCAAGTGGCGTTCCATTCGAGGACGATTTTGGAGAAACCGTGAGACGAGGAGGGGCAGTGAGATGGAGGGGAGTAACTGGCGAGGACCGGGGGCTGGTTGTAGGTGAAGCCGAAATCGTGCTGGAGAACGATGTGCTTGCAGGGCTCTGTTTTGGGGAGTGGGATGGGCTTTGTTACTTCGAAGAAGACGGTTGGGGACACGGCGGCGGAGGATTGGGCGGAGGAGAGTTCGTCGCCGACTGGCGGCGGGCTGCGGAGGGCAGATTTGAGGAGGGGATTTGTGTTGAGTTTGTGAAGATTGGCTGTAGAAGAGAAGGGTTGGTGGAATAGGAAGAGAACAAGGAGCAGAGCGAAGCAAGAAGAAGAAGGTATCATTGTTGGATGTTTTTTGGGATTGGGAATCGGAAGATTTTGAAGGGTTTTGGTTTTGCTGTTCTAGTAGTTGGAGGGCAAGAACAAGATGGCTAAGGTCAAGAAGAAGAAGACGCAAAAGCTGCTTATAGCATTAGCCGCATTGGAGCCACCAGCATCATCACTTCGTCTAAGTAGTGAACAGACACCAAAGGTTTCAATTACATAGCTAATTAAGAATGATAAATTCCTAAACTTGTTGGTGACGTGATGTTCTAAAAATAGACCGGATGGTTTTTACGAAGAATTTTTTTTTATGGGAATTTGTAGAAACTTTATTAATCAGAATTCGTTGATAATATAGTCCAGTTTCAGTTGATTTGGTTTTAAGAATAATTGAGTGGTGGAATGGTATTTAAATTTATGGTAAAAATGTAATAGATTTCAGAATTTGGATGGACAAAACTGAGAATTTAAAGAGATGGATTACCAAATTTCCAACTCTCAATTCTCTTATAAAAAAATGAGATCTGTTAAAATTGTTATTGAAAAATAAAATAACATAATTATATTTCTAAATTTACCAATTCAAATATGGTTCAATAAAACTTGAGACATATAGGGGTGTTGGGCCTTGCATAGTTGCATAGTACCTAAGGCTAAGACTTAAGAGTGACTATAAAAAACAACAATTTGCATTAACAAAAATTTAAAATGATGAAAGGAATAATAATTTACAACATTTTCCTTCTTCAATTCAAATGATTAATAATCTACTTAATGCTTAGTAAGAAGAAAATCAGCTTAAAAGTTTATAGAATCATAGTTCAATAACAATTTTACAACATATACCTTTTGTATTGATTATTTGCTCTATCTCATTATTCTTAGGTATCGCCTTACCCGTTAACGTATTCTCGGTATCTAACTCTTATTGAAACCCTCAGATGAGGCGTTTTGAGGTTGCCTAGAGTCTAATTATCTAAATGTGGTGTATTTTAAACAATGATTAAGATAACTTTTTCATAATTTTCATAAATTTGAATTCTACCTATTTTAATATTTATCATCATATTTCAATATTGCTTCATCCAAATGATTTCTGAATTGGAGAAGTTCCAAAAACTGTTGTGAAAATTTTGGCCTGAGGGATGAGTTCTTCCTTCGTTTGCTATGGATTAGCTTTTACGCCCCGCATTGACTTTGGAGAGGAGGCGTCTACTTTCCACAAAGCGTGGATCGCAAACCTTGTTTGTCGGTGCAAAACATGGGATGGGACTTAAGAGAGCAATTGAAGGCACCGTTTACAATTGTTGATGAGGTGATGTATAATTGTATATATATATTTGTTCACTTATTTTGGAAACAGAATATTATTATTTCGCTTTGTCTTTCATTTTTTCCCAAAGATATTCGAGAATGGAATAAGCTGGATACAAATAAGTATATGATCAAAATCGGCTAAATTAAAAAAGTAATTCACGCTGGTCAACAAATGTTGAACCAATAAAGAGAGAACCTTTTTTTTTTACCACGATATGAACAGCTCTTGATACCTTAACGACGTGGATAATATCATGATTTCTTTCTTTAAAGAGATCAAAATTTATTTTTTCGTAATATTCTTATAATGAGAAATGAGGTAGATCGCATTAAGAAGAGACACTAAATTTATAATGTAATGTCAAGTCCTTATCTTGTGTTCTATTTATCAAACGACTAAGTAGAATAAATTGTGACCACCATCACAAATGATGATCGACTAGTAGCGTATGAGGTGAATTTATAAACGGTATAGATGGCTTTCCAGAAGTTGATTACTACGATGACATAATTTACAAAGCTATTGCCTTACCATCTAACAATTCAGATGATTAGGAAACGATCAGACAACGTTAATATATATAAACGTGAAGTAAGATTACTGTTGCCAAAAGAAGTACATTTTGATAATTCAAATTTAATAAAATTACAAATTAATCACTATAATGTATATTTTACATTTTGATACCTCAAATTTAATTTAATATAAAATCATTGAACAATTATGTTTTCGTATCTAAACTTTACGAGATTTTCATACCTGCAACACTTGAATCCATAAATCTAATCCACCAATCCATGAATCCAATCCATCATAACATAAAAATATAAATTTAGCTTGTACAATACAAGATGTTGTATCACTCAACTGTAGGAGAAGATTCGACCATTTTGGTCTTTTATGAGATTTTTACTTCAAAAAAACATGTATGATATCCATTTGAAATAATAATTATCATTTTTTTAAAAGAACATTCTATTCGGTGATGTGACAACATATTTAGCAAAATATAATACGAGTACATAAAGATATTGATCATAACTCTCTTCTCTCGCTTGCCGGGCGATTTCTCAATTCCCTTCGATGGCGACTTCGCCTAAGGCCTCATCGGAGGAAGCTCACTCGATGAGCAATACCTCGGATGGTCCGGTCTCCTGGGCTTCTCTGTTCTCTCTTGACCCAACAAATATGATGAAATTCCGCTCTCCAAAGCGGAAGAACGATGGGGTTCGGCTTCCGCGTGAGGTCAAAAAGAGAGGGTGGGACGGTGGAAGGATAGTCTGATTGCTCAGTTTCTAGGTCCGCCGCCGAAGCCAGCGGCGCTTCAGCAGTGGGCAACTGGCCTTTGGGGGCGAGATGGAGTTGTTAGGGTTTCCAAATTCGGTCATCACCTGATGGGTTTTTCAGTTTCCCTCAGCGACTACCAGTCGCTGGGTTTTCCGTTCGGGTCCTTGGCACTTCCAAGGGAATCCAGTTTTCTTTAGGAAGTGGTCGTCGACTATCCAACCAGTAGCGCCGCCGGTGGAGACTCTTCCGATCTGGGTTAAAATTTGGGGGATTCCTCTGGAGTACCATTCATTTGAAGGGCACGAATGGATTGCCAACACGATTGGGTGGACAGTTAGGGTTTGCTAAGGTGTGTCTAGTTCAGTCGACAAGATTGGGTGGACAGTTAGGGTTTGCTAAGGTGTGTCTGGATCTAGCTGCGGATTGTGGTTTTCCAAAGGGGGTTAAGCTTTACCTAGATGATGACCCGAGTTTTGAAGTAGAGGTGGAATATCTGAACAAACCAACTGTTTGTGAGCGTTGCGAGTTCTATGGGCACGACTGTGACTGGCTTAGTAAGCAAGGGAAGAAGTGGGTGCCTAAAAAGAAGGTTGAGGAAGTAGAAGAGGTGGAGGTGCAGATGGTCACGGAAGATGTTGTTGGAATTTTGAAAGATGCTGAGATCCATAAGGGTAAGCAAATTGCTGTGTTTCAAGAGGTCTCTGATCCTGGTATTTCTGGGGCTCAGGGATTGCTCTCTCCCCATCAACTGGGAGCCCAATTGTGAGTTTTGTGGAAGTGGTGAAAGGGTCATCAGGTGGTCCTGGGAGCTCTCAGCCTAACCACAGTTGTCTGCTAATGCTAATTCACCAGAGCTCTCTGGGAGGTTACATCAGCAGTCAACTCCTGCTGGGAAAGAGGAAAATCCATGGATTACAGTAGAGAGTCAGAAGTCTAAGCAGAACGTTTTTGTTCCCCCGGTAAGAAAGGGGGGAAAAGGAGGCAAGAAGCGATGAAATTGTTGGTTTGGAACACGAGAGGGTTTAAAGATAGTGATAAGAATAAGGTTGTTCAGCTTATAGTAAATAGAAAACATATAGATATAGTAGCTATTTTAGAGCCAAGAATTCAAGGGCATGAGTCAGGAAAGCTCATTCACAAAAGGTTTCCAGGTTGGGAGAGTAAGGTGGCAAACAGTGCAGTAGGGCTAGGGAAAGTTTGGCTTCTATGGCGGCAAAATGTGAAGTTGACTATTCTTGATCAATCTGATCAGTTTATTCATGTGTTGGTATTCCGTTCTTTGCAACCTTTGTTTATGCCTCCAATGAAGAAATGGATCGTAGGAGGTTATATGAAGATCTAGTTCGACTTAAAGTCTCTCAGCTACCTTGGTCGATTATGGGAGACTTCAATGATATAAATAATTCTAGTGAGGCATCTAATAGTCCTGCTTACAACAGTAGTATGGAAGATTTTAAAAGTTGGCAGGAGCAGACTAAACTTATAGAGCATAAGTCATCAGGGCCGTGGTTTACGTGGATCAACATGTAGTCAAAAAATCCTATTGCACGTAGACTTATTGCACGTAGACTTGACAGGGTGTTTGTTAACTTAGCATGGTTAGAAGGGCTTCCTAGTAGTGTAGTTGATTTGCTTGAACCATCAGTTTCTGATCATTTTCCAATCTACTTGGATACTGATAGTTCTATACAGTCATTGCCTAAGCCATTCAGGTTCTTCAAGTTTTGGATTAGTCATCCATCTTTTTTTGACATTGTGAAAGAGGCTTGGAGCTCTGAAGTCTCGGGCTCTCCTCTATCCAGGGTGTGCAAGAAGTTGAGAATTCTCAAGAAGTTACTTAAAGCTCTGAACAAAGAAGTTTATGCTGATATTAGAGAGAGAGTGAAGTTAAAGGAAGCAGAACTGATGAATGCGCAGATGGAGGCTCTATCAAAGCCGTCAAGTGAGACATTTGAGGTAGAAAAGGTAAAGAGTAAAGAACTCAGGCAGTTAAAACTGGATGAAGAATCCTTCTTGCGCCAGAAGTCTAGGGAGATCTGGCTCAAAGAAGGTGACTCTAATTCCCCCCTTTTTTTCATCGCTCAGTCAAAGTTCACCAGCAGAAGAACACTATTCGTTCCTTACTAAACGATGCAGGTGAGAGAGTCATTGACACATCTTCTATGAGTAAGATAGCAGTTTCATTCTATGAGAAACTTCTAGGGACAAAAGATGATATGGTACAAGAGAAGCCTGTTGAATATTTCGAAAAGTTATTGAAGAGGAAACTTAACTGCTCTCAGACTTAGGATTTGTGCAAGCCTGTAACAGAGGAGGAAATAAAAAAGGTTATGTTTGGTTTTAAGGGGGGAAAAGTCCAGGCCCTGATGGATTTTCAGCCTGCTTCTTTCATGCTGCTTGGCATATTGTTGGAGAGGAAATTGTTAAGGCAATTCAACATTGGTTTGCTTAGTCTACTTTCCCTACAGAGGTAAATTCCACATTTTTAGCTCTTATCCCTAAGTCTAAGAACCCTGAGGACATGAAATTCTTTCGGGAAATTTCCTGCTGTAATATCATTTATAAATGCATAGCTAAGATCATAGCTGTAAGGCTCAGTGATTATCTTCCTCATGTGATAAGTAATAACCAGACTGCTTTTGTGAAAGGAAGAGTAATTGGTGAGAACATAATGTTGGCTCATGAGCTAGTTCAGAAATAGACCTGGAAGAACATCTCCCCTCGTAGTATTGTCAAGGTAGATTTTATGAAGGCTTTTGATTCAGTAGATTGGCACTTCCTTCTGTCTGTTCTAGAAGCAATGGGGTTTCTTAGTTTGTTCATCAGCTGGATCTCTATGTGTATAACTACTCCTAAACTTAGTGTGGGGTTTAATAGATGGGTAGTGGGGTACTTTGCAGCTAGAAAAGGATTACGTCAAGTAGATCCAGTTTCTCCTTACTTGTTTGCTGTTGCAATGGATGTATTTAGTTGCCTTATGGAAGAAGCTGTCTCTGAAAATAGATTGCCTTTTCACCCCATGTGTAAAAGGATTGGCCTAACACATATTATGTTTGCTGATGACTTGATGTTATTTTCTGATGGATCAAACAATGGTTTACAATGTATTCAAAGAGTTTTGGCTGATTTTAGAACTCTGTCAGGACTAAAGTCTAATCCTTCTAAGTGTGAGCTATACTGTGGAGGATTGCCTCAAGAGTGGAAAGAGAGTATGTCAGCTTTTGTTGGGTATAAGCTAGGTACCCTTCCAGTTAGGTATTTGCGGGTTCCTTTAATTTCAAACAAGCTTTCAGTTAAGGCTTGTCGCCCCTTGATCGATAAACTCATGAGCAGAATCCAAAACTGGGGGTCTAAACTCTTGAGTTATGCTGGAAAGCTTTAACTTATCTTGTCTGTTCTCTATAGCTTAGTACAATTCTGGATGGTAATTTTTGTTTTACCTAAGAAAGTTATTCAGGAAATTGAGAAAATCTGCAGTAATTTTCTGTGGGGAGTGGGAACAGATGGTAAAATAAGAGCTAATGTTGAATGGAGCAGAATCTGTTTCCCCAAGAAGGAAGGTGGGTTGGGGATCAGGAACCTAAACTGTTGAAATCAAGCCTTTGTAGTAAGACATATATGGGAGCTACTGTTGAAAGAAGGTTCTTTATGGGTGGCCTGGGTACAGGAATACAGACTGCACCATGCTTATTTCTGGACAACAAATGGTTAGGCTGGTTCGTGGATATGGTTGAAAATATTAAAGATTAGAGAGCAAGTTCAGGGGCATCTTTCAATTGTAAATGGTGTTGGTTCTTGGGAAAGAAAGGGTTTAGAAGAAGTCCCCCCCCCCCCCCCCCCCCCTGAGGCAAGTCTCGGAGTTATTTCATCCTAAACTCCCTGTTGTGGAGTCTAACAAGCTGATCTGGGAAAGGCCTACTATTCCAAGAGATCAGTTTATCTACTAGTTAATTACTAAAGACTACATCACAACGGGTGATAAGCTACTTAGCTGGGGGTACAAGGGGAGTTTCAAGTGTGTATTTTGTGATGTAGGTGTTGAAACGCATAATCACCTCTTCTCTGAATGCAGCAGATACAAGGAGCTGTTCTGGTTGTTGTTCTCCAAGTTTACTTGCAGATCTCCCTCTAACAGCTGGGGAGATGAAATTCACTGCGCGGTTTCTTCTTTCTCTGGTTCTGGGAGGCCTTGCAAGGCTGGCCGCCTCCTCTGGCAGGCACTTCTTAGTAGTATATGGAGAGATAGGTGTAATGCTAAACATGGGAAACCAATATGGAATCTTGTGGAACTGTGGAAGAAGTTGCAAAGTGATCTGGAAGCTATATGCACAACGGAAGACCTGGAGCCTCTTTTGTGATTGAGTATTTCTAATTTGTCTTGCTCTTGGCTTAGTTACTTAAAATTTTGTAATAGTTGCTAGAGTATCCTAGTGGCAAGGGATGTTGCCATAAGTAAAGTTCTTTTTGATGAAATAAAAGTCCAGTCATTCATAAAAAAGACCCAACCTTTCCATCATCTACTCATTCTTCATTTCATTTTTCACTCGCCTTCCTTAACCCTTTTTTATTTCTTTCTTTACCTTCTTTTTCTAACCCTAATTAGTATACTATTTATATTTATTATAATCACAAGTATGAACGGCTCCATACACGACTCACCAAAACTTTAGAGAATTAATAATTGAACCATGAACCATTAACTTTTTCAGCTCAATGTCGGTCCAATTAAAAATAAAGATATATGATTATTACTTATTATAAAGTCATCATTTTCCACTATGGGATTTGAAGGCGTGAAATTTTAAGCGAGTTCTCGTTTCTATTCATTTTGCTTCTCTATAGAGTTTTTCTTTTCACCCGGGCTAGATTTTCAACAATTATATGTTTGGCTAGGTACCTACACATATCAAATAAATAGTTTTCATTTTTCTATAAAAAAGTAAATAATTATCATCTTAAATACATCACCATTAAAGGAATTAAGTCTCAACTATGCAAATTATAGTTCGATACCTAAACTTAATAGATTTTAGATTTATAGCCTAAATGTTTTTTAGCATTACAAGTCCTCAAATATCAAAATATTGATGGAACAATACATTTTAGTACCTAATTTTTTTGTACTACATTTTGGTACCTAAAATTTTGAAGTTCTACAAATAGTTCTAATTTTTATATGTGTAATTAAAACACCTTCAAATAAATGGGTATCCATAACCAACTCATACACATTTAGATTATGGAAGCAAATATCCATACGCTACTCAAACCCATATACAACTTCCAAACTCATATATATGCCACCCATACCCTACCCATAAAATGGGTCTACTTGGTTTAGGTAAATATCATTTATTAGCCCAAAATTTCAAAATCTTTGAAATTGGATGTTGACTGTCATATATATTTTCTCATTCAATATCATATTGTCAAGTCAATATTATTAACAAAACTGCTAACAAAATATTAATTTTAGACTAATAATACTAACAAAACACCATAACAGACCACATAATACATGCCGATAGACCATCTCTGCCCGCGACAAAGCGCGGCATCACCACCTAGTTATCATAAAATTTACACCTCATGTAAGCCTTGGATCCTAATCCAGCTTTCATGAGTTGCAACACTCATGTTCACTTCTTCATGATCCCAAATCAAAGACTCTACGAAACTTTGAATTTAAATACTAAAGAGTAATATCACTATTCAAAAACCAATTATTCTACTGAAAGACTAAATGTCGCTCTAATTTTTTATTATCGCCCTAACTTAAAAATTGAAATTACGTAATTGCCCATAGAAACAAAAGCCGCAAACGAAACACAGTTTCTAACTAAGACCACTCCTCTCTCCTCTAAGCCGCCGACACCTGCATACACCCAACCCGCCGTCGACATCCTCCGCCACAAGGCCCCACCCAATCCCGCTTCCTCCGCCCAGCCGCTGTCATTCTCCTCTAGCGTCACTGGGTACCGCTGTCGTTCTCCTCTACGTCAGACCGTCGCGGCGCATCCTCCCTCCGTCTTGCCGATGACTCTTCTCCGACGTCCTCCCGCATTTAAGGTAATGGCGATGTACTAGTCAATATATATCAATTGCTACATTCGTTGCTGCATTTGTAGAGTTTTATCAGATCCTAACATTCAGATTTCATTCCCATAAGGGGAATTGTTATGAAGAAGATTCTTCAATTATGAACCTGTCTATTTTTTTCTCGCCATAAACCAATCGTTGTAACTTGTAAGGTTTCCTTCAGCCACGCTATGTGTTCTCAGTTCTGTCAAAGAAGATGAAACTCCTGCGGTGCAGAGTTCCTTCCACTGGAATTCTGATTATTTTGCTTTGACCCCTTGCATTCGATACCAGAAACTATTTTCTAGAAACATAAACAAAAGGGCAAAAATGTAATACTAATTTTTAAATTAGGGCGATTATAATAAATGAGGGCGACAATCCTCCAAATCGAGATTAAAGCAAGTAATTGACAAATCAATCAAATTCAAACTAATAACAATCAATCCTAAGAAGTTGACCTCGTGATAATTTAGAACTCGTAACAATATCGGAATGAAAACATCTTCCACACTGTTTTCAAATTTGGAGCCAACAACCAATGGAAAAAAAGAAAAGAAAAGAAAAAACTAGCAACAAACCAATTCCCATCCCACTATTAATCCATCCTACTATCTTGCCTTTCACTTATGGCACTTAATCCCCTGCCTATCATGAACAATGGTATAGTTCTTGCTGCTAACATCCCTAAAATAGCACTTCTCCGACCCATCTTCTTCTTCTTCTTCTTCTTCTCCTCCATAGTTATACCACTGCTTCGTCGCCCCAAATCCACCGCTCACCAAATCCCCCTGCACCACCATTTCCCCCCTCGCCCTCTGCAAATTCCCCAACCTCGAAACCTCTTTCCCGCCGCGGAACCTCCTGTTGCCCAATCCCAGCGCCAGCCTCGTTTCCAACAGCACCGTGTTGTTCCGCCCCGCCTTCGAGTCCGTGTACAACTCCACGCTGAACCGGTTCGTCGATCGGAGCGAGGGACCACCACCGGAGAACGAAACCTTGTCGCTTACGTTACACCTCTGTTTCACCCTCTGAGAATCCCCTCCTTTCCCCATCTCCATCGAATTGCTGTAACTAAACCGCTGGTCGAATCGAGTGGTGATGTTACCGTTCGACGATTTCACCCACCCTTCCGTCGAAACCCACCTGCTCGCACCGGTTTCGAACTTGCCATTCAGTCCTGTGAAGTTCGCGTCCGATGTCAGACCGAGTTCGCTTCCGTGGGCAACAAGCTTCCCTTCCGTTGTCTTCTCCCCTTCACGATCCACCCAGAGATGTAAATTTGCATCCACAAACCACACGCTCAACCCGTTCGTGACACTAAACCCCAAACTATGCGCCTTCCCATCGAGCAAATTCCCGAGAACCGGGGTCAATTCGATGTCGTACGTCGGGAGATCGAACGATCCTATCCCCGAAATCGGCCTCCAGAGCAAGGGATTGATCCCTCCCGTGTAGATCACGGTGAACGGCCAGACAGCACCCACCGTGATGACGCCGTCAAGACTAACCACAACCTCGCGAAACGGTCCGTTCCCTGGCGTGCTGGTCAAGTTGTTGGCTACAATGTAGTCGTTGGGATAGTTCGTGTACCAGAATTCGTCGTCCTGATGGGGCGAAACGTAGACCTCGAGCACGGCCCTGTACGCGTTCGAGGGAATCGTGAACTCGCTCGACTCGATTCGAGTCGACGAGTTCTCGATCTGGAACCACAACCCGTCGTTTAAATTTTCGACATTGCGCGAAATCGGCAGGATCAGATCAGCAGCTTTACTATTTCCACCACCACCACTATTCTCTCCCGATGCAGGGTAAAAGTAGATACTCACATTGACATGGTAGATTCCGGTGTAGGTACCGTCGACGATGTTTCCGAGGAAGACGGCGAGATCCTGGCGCCGTTTCGAAAGGAGCGACGAGGAGTATTTCGTCACGTCCTTTCGGACGGTCCAGAGGATGCCGTTGGGACGGGGCTCGGCGGTGCAGCTGCGGAGAAGCTCGACGCCGCCGAGCCAGAGGCCGAAGATTCGGTCGAATTGTCGGCCCTTGCAGGTGGCGTTCCACTCGAGGACGATCTTGGAGAAGCCATGGGAGGAAGGACAGTGAGAGGGAGGTGTGTAGTTGGTGAGAAAAGGTGGTTTGACGAACGTGGAGGCGAAGTCGTGGGTGAAGATGTGGTGGATGCAGGGGATTGTGTTGGGGAGGGAGATGGGTTTGGTTACTTCGAAGAATTCGGTTGGTTTGGTGGAATGGGTTGGAGGGAGTTTGAGGGATTTTGTTCTGAGGTTGTGAAGGTTGGCTATGGCGGGGAAGGGGTGAAGGAGGAGGAGGAGGAGGAGGAAGAGGAGAGGCAGAGTGGAGGCAGGGGAAGGGAGAGGAGTGGTCATGGTGTGGTTGGTTTTTTGGGGTTTGGTGGAATTGGTTGTGTTGGTGTTTTTCATTTATTTGCAGGTTTTAATTAGGACGGAAAACTCTATGTGATTAGGAGTCCAAAGCTTGTAGAAGACATTTTAGAGAATTTAAGGTGTGTCAAATGCGTTAATGTGGTCACCAAACTTTGGAAATATAGGCGTCAATCAGTGATGATAACAAACGTGGGTAGGTATTTCGATACTTATACCAGCCTCGTATTAAGGTTGGGTAATATCTGCACGAGTGGGAGGTCTGAACTGGTCGGTCCTTATATTCTTATATGTTATTTGAAGAAAATGAGCGCACAAATTTATTTTTTTATTTACAATTAAACAAAGAGAAAATACTCTATAAATGGAAAATAGTATAATAGAATGAGTAATTGAGTCTAATTAATTGAAAGATTAAGTCTTGCAATTTCATTAGGTAAAAATATGATTGAAGAAAAACCAAAATATAAAAAATATAAATAAATATTGAGGCAAATTGAGATAAAAACAAGTTAAGGATGAGACGGATTGGGATGAGACGAGTCGGAAATAGTAACCCATACCCGTCCCACGCTACTGAAGATCGGGTAATACTCGCCCAACACAAATCATGTCGGATAACAATTGTCGGGACGGGTTCAAATTACAAATCCTTGTATCACTTCATTTGTCTAAATTAGGTTTTTCGATTTTTGCAAATTCACCCAAGTTCACAATAGGAAGCCTATATAATTCCTAATTAGCTAACACCAACCGACCAACAACTCTTTACCAATACTGAAATCGAACCAAACATGTTTTTTTACTTCATTCCAATCCAAATCACCTGAAGCTATCATATAGTATCTTCCTCTTTCCACTCGACAGTGCATTACACGTACGGTCTATGGACGAGCTTACATATTCCGAACAGTTCAAAGAGGATGTAATGATAAATGATTGTTTAGTACTTTAGTTAGTGATTCCACGACAAATTTGTCAAAAACTGAAATTCGATGATTGTTTTGTTAGTAACGCAAGAGTTAAGTGACCGTTTCCGTAATTAAGTTTGGTTTTCTGAACTTACGAGGGTGAGCTGTTGTTGTTCGTCCCAGCTGGTTAAGTTTCTAAACTATATAAATTATGAATTTCAAGATCATTAAGAATCTCGTTGTAAACAATAAGATTTGGAAAAAAGAAATCTGATGAAAAACGTAATCCGGCCATTTTAAACAAAGACGTGAGCGTGGATGTTATCCACCGGAATTTGTTAATTTGTTCCACGTATTTGTCCAATGTCCATTACAAAATAAGGAATGAGGAAGAGGAGATATAAATCCGGATAAATATTCAGAAATTTCCTGGAAAAAAAAGGGAAAGCTCTCCCCTCTCTCCTGCGCCTTGGGCGCTGGATTGGTAATCTCCTGGTTGCTGTGATGCTTTCTGTTCTCTCTTGGTGTCTGCACAATCAAGGCTTGAAACAGGTACAAACAAAGAAGTTCCATTCGGGTCGGCAGATGCGTAGCGGAGAGAAGGCTGTGAAGGTGGAAGAAGCACAAGAATTTGACTTTGACTATGGCTACCGTCGAAGTGAGCGTAAACGCTCCGACGGTTCTGGATCTATTAGTGATCGTCGTTCCTCTCCGAGGAGTGGAAAACAGAGTTACGCGAATCTCTACCACGGAGTTACGCGAATCTGTCATCACTCCTTGGCTGATACAGGGAAGACACAGGGTCGTACTCGCAAACATGGGCGGGTCGAGTTTATGCTTCCAAGTGAAGAAGCTAAAATTTGGGTGCTGAAACGCACTCTCTGGGTGATCAATGACAAGATCTTACACCTCCGCTCGTGGACTCCCACCATAACGAAGCAAATATTTGATGATCTCGCCATTGCTTCATTCCGGATCCAACTGTGGGATATCAAAGAAGACTGTTGTACGCAACAGTTTGGGAGGAAAGTGGTGAATACCACTATTGGCAAAGTACTGGAATTTGGCATCTTTGCGTGCCAGGATACGGGTAGCTGGTTTGTGAAGGTCAAGGCTCTGATTGATTTCACTAAGCCACTCTGATCACAGATTATGGCGGCCAATGATAACACTGGGTATTTTTGGGTTAGCCTGAAATACGAATACCTCCCCAGCTTCTGCTATCAGTGTGGTCGAGTGGGGCATTCAAGAAGCTCCTGTACTTTTAACCACCCAACAGCAAGGGAAGATTTGGTGCCCATATGTCGACAAGAAAGCTGGGCCTTCGAATTTATGATTCCGATGAACATGCCCAGGCTTTCTCGCGTGGGGGTACGTCGGTGTGGGTTAACAACTCATTCCGCGACCAGAAAAGTAACAAGGAGGGTGTTGTGAACCATAGTGATAAGGGTGGGGAAGTGCTGACCCTGCCCTAAAGCTCTCAACCATGGCGCCGCACCCAAACGTTGATGGTTGCAATCCCGCCGACGGCGAAAGTAGCTCACTACCGCCCAAGCCCTCGCGGCTTCCAGGTCGCGCGCTAGCTGAAACTCCCGCATGGCCGCTCCCGCCATGCTGCGAACTCGGTACGTCATGGTGAGCACGTGCGGAAGAATCAAGCTCCCATGCAGCAGAGCGTGTATGAGGATGTTACGTACACTTTTTGCACGAATACAATTTAGAAAGAAAGACCGGAATAGGAAGAAGAATGAAGGAAAGATAGTTAGATTGGAAGAAGAGAAGTGTTCTCCTTAATGGCGAGAACGGAACCCCTAAACTTTTTCGAGGAAAGCCAACCTCCCAAATTAACACGTATGTGTGTAAAACCCTTTTCTGGATTATACTTGATTCCTTTCCTGTAACCATCTGACAGTTTAAATAGAGAAGAGTAAACTAATAATCCTACAAACTAGTAACGACACCTAAAATCTAGTTAATCAATAACCCCACTAATTACCCACTAACTCACGTCACAATCCCCTCCATAACAACCCATAGTTAATTAACCATAATAAATTAAATAAATGCACATGACAGAGGACGAGGCGTATGTGGAGGGAGAAGGCTCACAAGTGCTAACACCATCTGTTGAAGGAAGGGTGACACGGTCAGAGTGGAGCTCCCTCGTGCGAATGCCGAAAGCAAAATTAAGCTCCCATCTCCTGAGATCCGGCGCCAAAAATTAATACTGGATGAGGATTTAGATGAGGAAGCCTTCTGAAGACCAGCTGAGATAGTTGAGCCCGTTGAGGGTCGTGAAGGAAAGAAGAAGGCTCAGAAACTGGTCTGACTGGGAGAGATTAAGGCGGAGAATGATGATGATCAGAAGAAGGCGATTCCTCGGAGGGCCAAGAAATCGTCTGGGTCAACCTCGCGCGCACGAACTGCTGGCGGGAGTGCCCGTAATAAGCTCGGACACAGCCGGGCTGGGAAGGCTTCTAAAAATCGGCATGAGGAGATAGCTTCTGTGGGGGTGGAGAGCCAGCGAAGTGAGCTCGCTGCGGATGGGTCGGGACTAGCGAAAGGGGGTGGTCGCACGAATGCAGAAGATCCAGCTGATTCGACAGCCTCCCTCTCGGATGAGGATGAGCTTCATTTTGAGATCAAAAGCAGGTGCCCTCAAACTGAGCAGGAGCAGGTCGTCCAGTCAGGACAGGTGCGGCAGGTGGTGACTGCTTTTAAGGCAAATATGATCATTGGTGAAGCCATAAATGATGTTGATGTTGATGTTAATGAAGGAGCAATGGTTATGAAGCTGAATGAATATAGGTCGAACCTGGATTCGGGGACCCGTAAACGTTCGATTGAAGAATTGGATGGGGAGATTGGGGAAGATCCAAGCCCAAAGAAACATTTTGTGAAGATATGATTGCGAGGATATGGTGGAGGTAGCCAGCCATGAATGGCCCCTATCGGATAAATGAGGCTTATGGACTTGAATGTGAGAGGAATTGGACCATCCCTTACATTTCAAACAGCTGTTGGTCTAGTTCGTTCTAATAAACCAGAACTTGTGTTCTTTTCAGAAACAAGATCGTGTCGGAGAGTAGTGTCCCGTCGTCATCGGGGATTAGGGTTTGATTCTTCCTTTTGTTTTTTTTGTTGATGCTATCAATGGTTCTGGTGGATTAGTTGTAGCTTGGTCCCCCGATGTTGAGGCGTCGGTGTTTTTTCTTTCCAGTTTCTGCATTTGTACTAGGATTAATGAGAATGGTGCTTCGTATGTCGTGGTTTGTGTTTACTTGAGTTGCAATATCATGGTTCGAGGTACTCAACTAGCTCGATTGCGCGAAATTTGCGATGATCTTCAGTATCCCTTTGTGATAATTGGAGACTTTAATGTTACCCTTGATGCTAGTGAAAAAGATGAAGGAAACCCTTGGAACGCTGCCCAATCCGTTGATCTCCGGAATCTTGTTCAAAACCTAGGTTTGCATGATCCGGGGTTTCAGGGTGATCCATTCACTTGGACTAACAAACGAATGGGGTTGGCTTGCATCCGTGAAAGGCTTGATAGGGCGTTGTGTTCTCAGAGTTGGGTTGGCCGGTTCCCCGAGACCCTGGTAAAGCATTTCACGGGTCAGGGGTCCGATCACCGAGCTTTACTGCTGTCAGATCAGCCTTATGCCCGGATGTGTCGCCCTTTGTTTCACTTTGATGCTTGTTGGGCGGATAACCCCGAAGTTAAGGCTATGGTAACGTATGTGTGGCAGGAGACAATCCAGGGTACGCCAATGTACCAGCTTTGGGAGCGTTTGAAGAGGCTCCGCCACTTGCTTTTTGATTGGAGCAGGGCAGGGACTACCAACTCCCTTCGTAATATCCATACCCTTCAAAATGAAATTGCGCGTATCAAATCAATCTTTCCGATTAATTGGGAGGAGGTACGATGTCTGGAGTCTGAATTGAGTAGACAGTGTTACACTCCGATATTTGGGTTCAGGTTCGACCGAACGGTTGGGATTGTCGGTTACATACGAAGGATGACAACCATGGGTTAGGTTGAATAATTATATTAATTATTATATTATTATT